ACCTAGTTCATTTAGCAGTCATGTCCATTCCAGTTACTTCAGGATTTTCCAGAGTAATTCAAACGTTCCTGAATTTCATATACATGTTGTACTTCCATTCCATTCAATTTGGTCTTTGTGGTTGATTTGTCGAACAAACGTCCAATTCTTAGTATTGAATACGATCTAGAGCTGAGCTGAGCTGAATACTTCCAAAATTTATCATCGAGCCAAACTTGAGAAGACGAATACATATTCCAGTAATATCTATGCCATTCAGGTATTGACATAGCTTTAGGGTTGATCTACTCACTTAAACTATTTTCCATTACCTTTAAAAGTAGTCCAATACCTATGCTTACTTGGATTCCTTAATTAATCCAAGACATTTACTTAATATAGGCCATAAGGGTATTTTGGTCATTTTGGTTTTCAGTTTTATTCCAATCATAACAGAGCTCAAGAATATCCCATCATTCCTGAGCTTAGTGATAATCTTGGGTCATTTCCATTATAGGGGTAATTTGGTTATTTTACAGATCCACAGTATTTCAATCTTTTTCCTACATCCGGTCTTATTATTTAATTCCAATTTATCATGTATTCCATTCCGTTCGAACAATTCTGATAAAAGAGCACCCTCCGATAAATTGTTCTTCAGGTATTTACTCATAACTCGGATATTTTCGGGTCAAGTGCCTTCTCAGATTTTACAAACGCAATATTATGAAATTTTCTTTACAAAGACAGAAAATTAATAATTAACTTTGTACTTAATCGAGTTAAGTACAAATCCTCAAAGTGCTTTCTCCTTCAGGGTCAACTCTGACTATTTTACCTCTTAAGGGCATTTTCGTAATTTCTTAACCAGATAATTTCGATATTAGCTCTTAACGACAATAATATAATATAGAGATCCTATGATTAATTGCTTCCTCGAACATTCTTTGATCTTGAAATGATTCCTTAAAAGACTTCTAGTATCTAGTATAAACCTTCTTGGGGTTAAAAATCAGTTATCCATAATTTCCAAGTAAAACTAACATTTTCTATGCACATCAATAGTTTTAGCAGATCAATAATTCTTTTCAGATTTATTAATCCACTTCCAGGGACAATTCTTGTCATTTTCTAACATAAGGGTAATTTCGTAATTTTACCTAATCGAAATATTCTCATAATTTATCATCTAAGTACCTTTAATGAGATAAATTATAATCTACATATCCATGGTTGATTCTTTTATCACTTAATTCAAGAACTTGTAATTTAATTCCAACTGTCCTCCAATTTCTTATAATAGTAATCTGAGCCATATTCAGTTACCTACTTTCTACCGTATTCGTATCTAGTGTTGATCTTCATTAATTATACATACGAGACCAAACATTTTCATTCATGCATTTACCAATACCAATACGTTCTATAAAACATAAAGAGGTAGTAAAGTATTACCTCGATTTTTGTGCAATACTGATCGACCATAAAAATTCCATTCGAACGCCTTTGATCTTCAATTCAACTTCCAATAATTCCTCAGATACATATTAACATAAATTATATCAGAAACGGAGCTTAATTGCGATAAACGGATCGAATCGGGTGATAAATCAGTGAAAGACAGCTTACCGAGTTCGAATTTGGCGAAACGGACTTCGGATTCAGGACGTCGAAAGCATAAAATATGACTTTTCAGAAATTTGGAATTTTCGGTCAAAATCAAAGTCAACGGGTTTGATCGGCAATTTCGAGGCCTTCGGGTCTTAATTTCGAAAAACGGATTGCGGAATCGAATTTGGAACGTCGAAAAATGTCAGGATAGGTATGCTCGGTAAAAAAAAAGGTCGTTTAATGCCCGGTCAAAGCCCGTCAAAGTTTAGGTCAACAGTGGTCAACGCCGGTCAACGGTCAATGGGTCAACGGTCAACAGGTCGGGTCAACGGTCAACGGGTCGGGTCGGGTTGTGACCGGTCAACTGTGCAACAAAACTGGTCAAACCGGTCACTTTTGTCTTCCCCACGCGCAGTGGCGGCGCGTGGGGGCGCGTGAATAGTGTCCTGATATCGGAAAATTCCCGGAAAAATTCTTAAAAATTATTTTAAGCGATTTTGAGATACTTACAAAGCTCAGTTCAAATTTTTGAACGGCGGAGAGCTCGATTTCAATGAATCAGAAACTTTGACCGCTTCACCTCCACACGTGCCGCCGTCGCCGGAGAAAAGAGAGGACACCGGTGGACTCGGAACGGCACAAGGAACAAGATGGTGTGGGAGGTGTCGTAAACAGATGACCCGATCGTAGTGAATTGATGAAAAACCAACTAAAACTGAGTTATTACCGACGATACGTCCGACTGAAATTCACGACGAACGGCAATGATTCACAACGAAAGGTTTGAGGGGTTTTGTTCCTCGGTTGACAACGAACACGATGGTGGTTTTGGCTCGTCGATCGGAGGTCGAAATGCGAGTAGATCGGAGTTCAAAGAGGGGTTGATGAAGAGGAAAATCTAGAAAAATTTCCAGAAAACATACGGGGAGAGATTTATAATTCTCTCCAAAATAAAAATGACTAAATCATGGGTTTAGCCACTGAATTTTCTACACTTCTTAAAACGGTCTGTCAACTTTGAAATCTTATAATTTAATCCCCGATTTCTTCAAAAAATACCAATTAAATTCACCAATTTATATTTTCTTAAATTTAGCCCCTAAATTAGGGTGTTACATATTTGACAAGTCAAGATGGTTTCATATGATCTAATATGAGGTGTATTTTTCATTTAAATTTAAATTTAGGATGGCTTTATATGATTTAAAATTTGACCTGAATTTTAGTGTAAAATTCGTATTTGATCTAGTGACCTAACATAAATCTTTTAAAAATATTTTTAATTGATAAAGTAAGAAATTAATTAAAAATTGGTATAGAGATTGATATTACATCAATCATCACTAAATATATGAAAGAAAATTATATTATTATTTTGCGTCGAATCGAGACATAAATGTTTCACTCTAAACTCAATTCTGATTCTTTTAAAATAAAAACTTAACACTATCATATCAAATTTTATCAAATTTTAATCAAATCACAATATCTATCTACAAGCTAGTATATTTGAATGTCATCATACATATTTGAGTTATCTTAAACTATTGGGAACTTTTACGAGCACAACACACCCACTAATTTTATCTTCTCTAGCTCTAAGCTTTCTTTCTCTAGCTCACACTTTTGGCACCATTTTCTCACTTTTTCATTCTTATTCCAATACAAAACTCACTCCTATTTATAGATTCTAGTGGCCATTAGATTGTTAACACATGTCAACATCTTAGCCAATTAATATTACAAATTTCTAGATCTTCTAATAGATAATTCTATATATAATATTAAATATTACAAATATCTAGATTTTTATATGGACAATTCTGCACATCTATAAATTCTATATTATTTAGTTTTTTTATATATATAAACTAAATAATTCTAGAATTTACATTGTCATTTAACATTCCCTCAATGCAAACTTCTTTCCATAAATGACTTGCAGACCATTCCGAGTGCTTCTTTGAATTTCTCAAACTTTGGTTTACTTAGACTTTTCGTGAAAATATTTGCAACTTATTCATGTGTCTTTGTTGTCACCATCCTAATATCTCCTTCAAGGACCTTCTCGCGAACATAGTGATAGTGCACTTCTATATGTTTTGCCCTTGCATGAAAGACTAGATCTCTGCTAGAAATATAGCTGATAGGTTATCGCAAAAAGGTCTTACTTGATAGTTTGTTGGCTGATGAAGATCTTCCATTAATTGCTTCAACCAAGTACTTTCTTGTGTTGTTGATGCTGAGAATCAATATTCCGCTTCAGTGCTTGATAATGATACTATTGGTTGTCACTTGCTACACCATTATATTGCTCCCGATCCAAAACTAAAGGTGTACCCAGTTGTCGACCGTCGCGTATCATAATCTCCAACATAATCGGCATCACAATATCCAGTCACTTGACATTCTTTTGCTTTCTTGTATAAAATACCAAAATTAATAGTGCCTTTAACATACCTCAAGATGTGTCGTATCGCGTCAAGGTGAGACTTCTTTGGATTGCTCTTGTATCGACTAGCCACTCCAATTACATAAGTTATGTTTGGTCGACTTAGTATGAAATAGATAAGACTTTCGATCAACTATCTATACATGGTAACATCTTCTATACTTTTTTCTTCATCTACTAGTAGTTTTGAATGATTTTATGTTTATAAATTTTGTTCTTAAATAATCCACTATGTTAGTGGGGAAAAGAAAATCCATGGCGTTTGAAAGAATACTCCTTTATTGGAAAATAAGTCGACTGGTTTAAAATTTAGAAATACTTTTCGTCAATATTGAAAATATTAATACTTCTTTCACTTGTAAAGGGGCTTATTTAACCACTAATTAGTTTACTAAACTTATTTGTTTATACAAACAGTTGAACCTTGAAAATTTCAATTAAATGACTTTTGATTTTCAATTAAACAATTCCAACCTGATTTTCTTTTTTAGCTAAAAATCATACTGCAGTTTCGAATTCCAATAATAAAAAGGGATCCCGCATATATGATTTTAGCCCATAAAGTATGCAGAATTTTATGTTATGGATGAATTTTTAAAATTTAAGATGAGATAAACTTATAAAATTTTAAGAGATGAAAACAAATTGTTAATAAAAATATATAAAAATATCTAAAATATATATTATTAAAAAATATTGAAAGACCATTGTCCCCTCCCGTCCTCTTGCCCCCAACGGTTCATCCCAATTTTTTGCCATGATAATTATTTCTCTAAATGTATCATAGATTGAGAATATTAATTTATATATATCAAAATTTGAACTTTAAATTTGTTGAAAGATTTTACAAATCACAGTTGACAACTTAATTTTTTTTTATAAAAAAAAAGGTAGATTAATGAGCACAAAAAGAGAAAATGGCAGTCCTGAAACAGAAAAGAATGAAAGAATGAAAGTAGCTCTAACCTATCCGTATGGAAGTGCAAGTTAAAAAGTCATCACAATGAGATAAGACTCCATTTACTTTGGACTCCTGCTCGCCTCTGTCTGCCAAAACATAAATCCATAATAAGGAAAAGGGACTCCACGAGGATCAAGCATATGATTGCTTACCAGATATTGATGTCCATCTGTTGATTTATTACGTCCCGGATCTGAGACTCGTGATCTCGGGACTCCATGGGCAGGTTGTCTTTGAATAAAACCCAGTACGTGATTATAAATGCTGTACACCATTGCACCAAAAAGATCATGCAACTATGATATGCTCAGTTCAAAAAAGAAAACATCATTTGACAAGAGGAGCAATGAAACTTGCATAGTTACTAGTAAATGTTAGTTGAAAACATCATTTGAGAAGAGGAGCAATGATTGGCACATATCAGGCAAATGCCTGTATACTTTATGTGCATCCTGTATGCAAGTGCATGTGCTTGCATCTGTAGTTAAATCTATAAGACAGGACCAAAAAAGTAATTATATTAAGTTAAAATGTGACACCTGAGGCGATGCCGGTTGCAAGCGTCAAAGAAAGCCGCAAAACCATATAATATACTTCTGAGAGCGCGGAATATCTGAAAAGATGGCAAGACAAAATATGTAAAAAGAAACATAAAGGAAAGACATATTTATGAGGACAATTATATATATATTTTAACCTGGGATAAGAGGTCACTCCAAAGTGAACGCCACATTGAAACTTCCTGAGCGCTGTGCACTGTTGCTTCCGCTTCTGAAGCAACCTCTATCATGCTACTTAAAAACTCCCATATATCTCCAACAAAATCAATGATGAAGGCACACATATTGGCCAAAGAACTGGCTAATGCAAGGACCAGGCGGATCGGGGCATACAGCATTTCCCAAACAATCAAAAACATGGGATACAGGACGGAAGTTGCTGCAGGTGCATGAATATAAGAATGAACAAAATTAACGAACTGAATCAATAGAATTTCAATCATCTGATGACCTACCAATGTTACTGAGAACTGAGATAATGAACCATATAGGCATTAGTACAACATCCATGAAATCATCCAGTAAACTGTAGACAAAACCAATCACAATACATATGATCGAAAACATGCTTTCTATTACTTCACTAAATATATTCCAAATTGGAAAGAGGAATTCCAGAAGTTCCATAAGTGGTCCTGCCAATGGTAGATTAAGAAAAGAGAAAAATGACCGACTAGCACGCAAAACCACCCATAACCAGTGCATGGCCTTCTCAAAGTTTTGAAGAAATAGCATAGTTCCCAAGTACTTGATCCTCGTTACCATCTCCCAGTTCTCAATCCAATCAAGAAGTGGTCCACATAAATGAGACGCAGCTGCCTTAAGAAGAGGGACATTTTTGTATAGGTCAAAAAATCCTATTAGAACAGTAATGATTGAAATCAAAACATATAGAGCTCTGGCCAGAGGGCACATCCATGGGCGATAGATATGGCAAAAGCCAGGATATGATTGAAGAAAAAGGGCCCAAGATGGGAGACCAGCCTCTAACAAACGAAGTAACCTCAGGTCAGGTGTTATTATTTGCTTTAGTTTAAATGGGAGATCCCTATCATCAAACCTGAACAAAATAAGAACGTCCCTATACTCTGTAGCTTTGACTGCAGTTTCATCGGAGTCGTCTAATGAATTTTTGGCTTCACTTTGGGTTTCATCACAATAGACGTCAACTCCAGTAATAATTGCCTTAGTGCCTTTCCTTCTATTATAGAGCCCAATAGGAGCAGAGGGGTATGGCTCAAAAGTTTCCAAGTCCATAGTTGCAGAGCAAATCTCGAGATTGTCACAACGATCATGGGAGAAACTATCCTCAATGCTGAAACAACCATCATCATAGTCATCATCAAAAGTGATCAGCATTGGAAAATCTTCTTCGACATCATAGAAGACCTCTCCTGAAAATAAACCAAATTTATTACCATAACAGCCAGCAAATTTGTCATTGAGATAAAAGTATGCTGTGGTGAACAACAAAATCAACATGCAGTGGATTGACTGAATTAGCTGTCAAATGAAAGACCACAGCATGTAATATAAATCATGGTATATACTGAGATTGATATACAGGCAACAAATTAAAGGCATCCAGTAATTTATTTGACCATTTTCCAAACAAATTTTGTACATATCACAGTGAACATGCGTAATCATAACTTCACAGGGAAAAAGTACTTGCTACATCAGACAAAGGCATAAAGGATGCAGCTGGATATGAGCAAATCAATGTTTATTGTGTTGGTTCCAGAATCCAGCATGTAAGAGACCTGAGGGCACAACACCTCAATTGCAAGCGGAATGAAACAATTTAGCACCTACTGTATAAGCCAATTATAGGAATAGGATAGCGTTGAACATATTAATAAACCATACACATACGTATTCAGATGAAAAATCGATTTACAGGTTTAAATCTCAAAGCATTTTTTCAACAATGAAGCAGAAAACTTACAGGTTCATGGTCATTTCTAAAAACAAAATTTATCAGGTTAAGCCAGAATAACTGGAGATGACTATTTAATCACGTTTAAGAGATGAGTATTTGCAGGTTTGACTAAATTAGCTGTCAAATGAAAGAGCACAGCATTGGAAACACATGAGCACAAGGATGACTTGTTCCTAGTGTCCACACCCGTTTCTAGCACACTGTTATAAGAAAAAATAGTTAGCACCAACAAAGGCAAACTAGAGCCACATGCTTATGTGCCTGCCAAGTTTCAGAGTCTGCACGTTCTATAAAGTTTTTCATAAAAAATAAAGCCTTGTCAAACCTTCAAGCGACAAATAACGGAGGCCAATGTTTTGAAAAAAGTAACTGGAGTGAAAATTAAAATTCTAGCAGTCACAAATTTTTTTTGATAGGAATAGTAGGCCTCACTAAAAACCCCCTTCATGATTAATGGAACTTGAAAATAGTTCCTTAATCAGCGGAAGGAGGAAAAGAGTGCCCTAGGAATTCATTAACCTCAAAACATTACAAAGTAATACAAAGTCTAATCTCCCTCCGGAGATAAAAAGCCAAAAAGAAACAACCCTTAACAGAACATAATTCTCAACCAATACCAGCCTTAGCTAGAATATCCGCCTCTATATTGGCTGTCCTACTAACCCATCTAATAAGACCTTCATAAACACTAAGCTTTTGAATAATGTCCTTAACAACTTGAACATAAACGACAGGACAAGAACCAACATCCTTGACCCAACCAATTGCCACCTTACTATCACTCTCGATAATCAATCTCTCTTTAAATCTGTGGCGAATAGATTCATAATAATATAACCCCTTTAGAATAGCTTTCAATTCCATCAAAGTTGGAGGTCCCGGACCAGCCGACTCTTTGAAGGAGCCAAGAATCGAACCAGAAATGTCTTTCAGAACACCACCTAAACCACTCCTCTTCCAATCACTAGAAGTAGCCGCATCCACATTAAGTTTAATAAAACCCTTTGGAGGAGGGGACCAAGGAAACTTAGTTGAAATCCGATTAGTATGAGACGAGCAAGAATCCACTAAGGACGGATCGGCAATAAGAGCATCCTTGGAAATAGAAATCTGAGTTTCCCTAGCTAGAAACCATGAAGCAAGCCTGCACCTTGCTAGAAAGAATATTTCTGCTCGATCAAGCTTCCCTCCTTCAAACACTATATAATTCCTAGTTTTCCATATTGTCCATAAGACCACTCCAGGGATAAATGACCACATAAGAGAGTTGGTCTTCAAGTTAGTCCATGCTACTAGGAATTTTTTAGCATCTTCATGAAAAACAGACTGAAAATTCCAATAGCCCATGAATTTAGTCCATATTGGCCAAACAACCGAACAGGAAAAAAATAGATGAGATGAAGACTTCTTCTAGATTACAAAAAGGACACAGAGAATCATTTATGCCCTGAACACCTCTCTTAACCAGAGCTGCCCTGAACACCTCTCTTAACCAGAGCTGTCTTCACTGCCAGCTTCTTTAAGATAACTTGCCAAAGAAAAGTCTCCACTCTTGGAGGCAGCAGGCCCCTCCAAAAAATAGATTTCCAAAAATTAGCTTCCTCCGAATCGGAACTCCCCGAATAAATTAGATTGGCACATGATTTAACATTGAAAACCCCTTCTCCATTCCCCTTCCAAAACAGTCCATCAAAAGCATCAGCAGAAACAGAAAAACTAGCAGTCACAATTTCAATTCAACATAGAATTTTACCATAACATAGTAATAATAGACAAGGTTGTAGACAGTTCTTGATACAGGTTAATACTTTAATAACGGATTCAAATACCTGCAAACCCTAGAAAACATATTTAAGAAGAGAACAGAAGCTAAAACCATAGATAATGATATTAAAAGGGTTACCAGTGGCAGTAATAATGCTTGATTTAAAACATGGTTTGGAAGTCTTCATATTCACAGATGTGCAAACCAATGATGAGAGAGAGTGTCAGGAAAGAAGAGAGAGAAAAAGGAATAGGCCAGTCTTCCTCCGGCGGGAGTTGGACTGTATTCGTTGACAACCTGAGTAAGAGAGTCACTAGGAGTGAGCTAAGAAACATATTTATCGATCAGGGTCAGGTGGTGAGAATTTTCATACCAAATGTGGTGAACAGGCCAAAGTATAAATCTTTCACTTTTGCCTTCGTTCAGTTTGGTAATGAAATAGAGATGAGGAATGCGGTTGAAAATATTAACGGGTTGTGGATAGATGGGAGGAAAATTTACGTTGGAGTTGCAAAGTACCAGAGTGTTAGACCAAGGGTTGCTGGTTCTTCTCGTCTTTCAGTTGGTGTCCAGGAAAAGGTTATATTTGATAAAGCTAATCCAAGTTCGAAGGCTGTGATTCCGAGCAGATTAAGAGATGATAGATCATACAAAGATGTCTTGGTGTCGTGCAGTTCGCAAAAGACTGAGTCAGAGCATATAGGAAAAAGTTACGAAAGTCTAGACAGGGGAAGAGGGATGAAGAAGAAGAAGAATAATTGGGAAATGCATATTCCTACTGAAAATTCAAGTTGGGTGAAAAGATCTCTAACGGGTATTGTGAAACATTCCTTTGAGCTGGAGTTGGTTCAAAAAGGTTTGGCTAGTGATGGTTTTGAAGTTCAAATTGCGAGCTGGGGATATGTTTGGAACTCTTGTGTTATAATGTTCAAATCAGAGGAATTGATGAAGGATGCGTGGTCAAATAAGAGTAAGGAGTTATGGTTCTGGTTCGATCGGTTGGCACCGCTGTTGAATGAAGGTGGAGTGCCTATGGCTTATTGTTTGGTGGAGCTGTTCGGTGTCCCTCTGTTATGTTGGCAAGAGAATTTCTTACAGAAGTTAGCTGGAAGGTGGGGTTCAGTGGAGGTCATCCAGGATTCGACTCTAACAAGGGAAGATCTCTCGATGGTGAGAATTTTGCTTAGGGTGGAAAGTCCCTTTGACGTCCCGGAAGTGTTTACTCTAGGTTCCTATAGAAGATCATATAAGGTGACTTCTAAGTTGGGATCTACTTCCCAGGTTTCAAACTTCTTTCATGGCATCTCGCCGGATAAATTTTCCGACGATAGAGTCACAGTCGTAGAGTCGTCAGAGGAGGAAGACGATAGTATACGTTCGTCAGACATGGCAGGTCCAGGTCAGCTTGATGTGGAAGATCGGCAGAAAGTGGACTTATGGATTGATCAGGGATTTCCTGTCGGGGTTGGTGCAGCAGGTGAAGAAAATCAGTTTTCAAAAAGAAACTTGGCAGGGAAAGACATTAATGAAGTTGTGTCAGAAGGTCACAGTTTGGGGAGTAGTAAAAAGGGAGATTATGCTGGGCTGGGTTTAAGAAATAAGGGGGATTATAAAGACAGTTTGCAGGCCCTTTCAGACAGGAGCAGTGAGCCTTTTTCTCCTATCTTGAGACTAGTTCCGGCTGGGCCAGCAGTCAAATTCATTGGGCCCGAAAATGCTAATCAAAAGCAAATTCATAATGTTACTAGTAGCTCTGGGGATGGAGACAAAGACAGAGGCAGTCAAGGCTTATGGTTTGAGGCGGGTTTTAAGGATACAACAGGTATGGATGGTGAAGTGGGGTCTGCTGAAGGCTTAAAGTTTTCATGTTTTAGAGCTGGTTCGCCAACTCGTTCTGCTAGTCCTATTTCTTGGAAGAGTGTCCCGGTTGGGAGAAAGCTAATTAAGAGTCATAAGAGATTTTTATAGCAGGTCCAGAGAAAGAAAAATTTGGTTGGATGAGCCAGGAAGGGTTTCTAGTTTAAAGTTGGGTAGGTTTCCTATCTCAAGTGGTTTTCATTCTAAAAGTTCAGAGGCGGCTGGGTTGGCTGAAGGGGTTTGTGTTGATCAAAGAGGCAAGCGCTCTAACAGGAGAATGAAAAGATCCCTCACTAGGGATGCTCTAGACCATGCTAGTGTGACTACAGTATCCACATTAACATTCTCAGGGCTGTTGGAGGAAGCGATTGCTACTTGGGAGATAAGCAGGATGCTGGGCATTTCTTTCAAGGAAGGGAAGAATGCTTTTCTACAAAAAATTATGGATTTGGAGAAAGGTTTGAGTCAGGCTAGACAGGCCAAAGTATAAATCTTTCACTTTTGCCTTCGTTCAGTTTGGTAATGAAATAGAGATGAGGAATGCGGTTGAAAATATTAACGGGTTGTGGATAGATGGGAGGAAAATTTACGTTGGAGTTGCAAAGTACCAGAGTGTTAGACCAAGGGTTGCTGGTTCTTCTCGTCTTTCAGTTGGTGTCCAGGAAAAGGTTATATTTGATAAAGCTAATCCAAGTTCGAAGGCTGTGATTCCGAGCAGATTAAGAGATGATAGATCATACAAAGATGTCTTGGTGTCGTGCAGTTCGCAAAAGACTGAGTCAGAGCATATAGGAAAAAGTTACGAAAGTCTAGACAGGGGAAGAGGGATG